CTCAGGAGGCTGAGATCTGAAGATTGTGATTCGTAGCCAGTCCTGGCCAGAAAGTCTGCGTGACTTTTATCTCCAGTAAACTATTAAGAGTCAGAAGTGGTACTGTGGCTCAAAATGGTAGAGCGCTAGCCTTGAGCACAAAGAGGTTCAGGGACAGTGCCCAGGCCCCTGAGTTCAAGCTTCAAGGACCGGCAAAACAAACAACACCACCCCCACCCCCTGCCCCAAAACAAGGGCCTCTCACAAGTGTCTGTAGTTCAACCACCAAGCAATTGAATTAAATTAGCATTAAGTAGTAAACTGAAACAATAACTGCTAGTTTAATAACCTTTCTCTTCTTGGATTTTAATTTTAGTGAGTAATTTGTTCAAATTAATAAGTGCAGTAATACAGAGAAAGATTATAAAAAGCAACAGTGAATTTCTTATTCCTCTGCACTTCCCATTCTTGTTCCTTAGATGAAGTGTGTTAAAGACCTCTCGTTTCCCTTCTGAACTCTTTTGGAGCCACTTGCCTAGCTCTTAAAAACGCCACAGTGGAGAGGTGGTAAGGGTGAGGAGGGGGTTCTTGGGAAGATGGTTTCGTCTGCCAGTCTGCCTCTGAGATGCTACACTGAAGCCTACTTTTAAAGATCATTTCTTTGCATCAGGGCAGCAAGACTTGGTTCTGTCAGTCTTCAGTATGCATGCCCTTCAGTCTTCTAAAACACTTTTTACCCTCTCCCTACTGTTGTAATTCATAAACTCTTTATCCAGCCCTCTTTTCACTTTAGCTTTAGAATGTGTGTAAGAGTCCTATTAGAAGCAGTTGTATTCTGAAACAACCAAATTAATTTGGCATTATTGTAGCTGGATAAATAGTGTGTGTATGTTGAGTCTATAAGCTGAATAGCTTCAAACAAAACAAAATTGTATTATAGCACAAATATTTGCATCTGATTGGAAACATTGAACAAAAATGTTGATGTTCCTTAATGTGAACTGTTTGTAAGTTTATCAAATAAGGCCTGTGCCTGTAACGTTAAAGTATTTATGACTTTTTAAATGCTAAATATCTTTAGAGTTCAAGGTTAACATGCAGAGAAATACTGATTTAATAATGTAGAAATGCCTATTAGCTAATGTGAGGCCCTAGGTTCATTCCTCAGCATCCATTTCTCCCCCCAAAACTCCCAAGTATAAGGATTTAGAAAATTTCCTATCCTGATCATAGCTAAAATATGGATGATATAGAGGTAGACATTATATGTTGTTATCTTACATAGACAACAGATAAGTCAGTGTTCAAAAAGTTGAAGAAGTTGGGGCTGGGAAGGTTGCTCAGTGGTAGAGTGCTTGCCTCACATGCATGAGGCCCTGGGTTTGATTCTTCAGTGCCACATAAGCAGAAAAATCTAGAAGTGGCGCTGTGGCTCAAGTGGTAGAGCGTTAGCCTTGAGCTGAAGAGCTGAGGGACAGCGCCCAGGCCCAGAGTTCAGGCCCCATGACCAACAACAAAAAGTTGGAGAAAATAGATATAAAAGCAGAGGTTGGTTTGCAAAGTGATTTTTGTTTTACCTTCTATAATCCTGTCCCAGCCTTTTGTATGTACTTAATTGTAGTTTGCCTTAGATTTTGTATAAAGGCCGATGAGATAAGTATAAGGAAAATAATGGTTTAATAATGCTTTATTTCCTACTTAGTGTCCTCACTAGTGGAAGAAGGAGAAAAACAAAACAAACATTTTAGGCCATCCAAAACACCTTGCCAAGAATCTGCTCTTCTGACCTCATCCTCGCCACCCATAGATCCAGAGTCACCGGCCATTAAAGAGAAGTTCATCCCCCCAGAGCTCAGTATCTGGGACTATTTCATAGCCAAGGTAATAAGAGTACATTTAGCCAAGTGTAAATGAAGGAACTTAATTCCAGTTATTAATGCTTCCAAATATTTCTCCACTTGGATTTAGAGAATTATTATTTGTATCAGGCCATATTTTGGTGAGGAAAATAAAACAACTGCGAGATATTTTGATCATATATCTAGTTACTACTTAAGCCATGCATTTATTTGGTTGGTTGGTTGGTTGGTCAACGTGTTTGGTTTTTGTTGGGGAGGGGATTTTTTTTTAATGTGCCAGTTCTGGAGCTTGAGCTCACCAGATGTGAGCAGTGTCTGTAGTGGAGTCCCCTGGGTTTTTCTCTCTGGCTAGATTTGAACTTTAATTCTGCAAGTCTTAGCATACTGAGTAATTAAGATTATAGACATGAACCTTGACAATGTTTTTGCTAAATTTTGAGTTTTGTGTTTTAAGTAGAACAATGTTGTTAGGGTTGAATATTGTAGACCCTGAAGGTCAAATCCAGAGACATACATGTTAGGAAAGCACTGTGCCCCTGAGCTGCATCCGCAGCCCCTTCTGGTGTGTAATACAGTGTGCCGTGTTATACCATGTGTGTAACACAATGGCAGTGTTTGGATAGGCACAGATTTCCATTCCTGGAGTTAAATAGCATCATTCCCTCAAGAGTGTGGCTCAGAGTTAAGTTACCAGTACTGTATACTAAGTGTAAGTACCTGCATAAAATGCAAGGTTCCCTGCTCTATCTTCATTCACAGATCACTGTGTCAGTAACAGATACACCTTTGATGAGAGTCAAGTGACATTGGTTCTTTCCAAGTCGGCTTGTGGCTTGTCATTTAGCACCTGCTCTTCATTTACACACAACATAGCACATAATTTTTATTCTCTTGTCTCCACAGTAAACCTGTGATCCCTACAAAATTGGATAATCGAAAGAGAAAAAGTGCAACAAAAAGAAAAAAAATGACAGTACTATGAGGGAAATTCATGTTGAATATGGATGGAATTATGGGGGAAAATAGCTAACTGGAAATGTGGCTATTACTGCCATGTGAAAGAATATAGAATTATAAATAGATGAATTTAGTGAATCTAAGCTTGCCAACATAAATTCACAAAGTTATGGACAAAGCTTATGAGGATATTTTAGCGTGTGACATTGGCAAAAACCACATTAGATTTTTCAGAATTGAAAATGTAAAGTGAGCAAAGGTGGAAACAGATATGTCTGTCAGTTTATTAATACATATAAAGAATATATTCTTATCTAAGATACAGTTACAACACAAACACTATTCAAGCAACAGATTGGTAATAATTTAAGAATAAAAACACTAATTCCCAGCATTTTTATATTTTCAATAAAATTTATTAATATTGGTAGTAGTAAGAATTCTCAATTAATTGGTAATAATAAGACTTCCTAATTATAAACCAAGTTGTTTTGAAAACTGTCTAGTTCATTGCCTTTTGAGTGGAAGACTTCCAAGTTTCTTTCTGAGCTGTTGCCGAAGTTCCACCCTCCTTGCTGTTTCTTGTATGTTTTTATTGGTCTTCCCTACAGCCAAGATTTTATAATGTTCTTTTGAAATTCCCACAGCGTTTCTCCAGCCTTTCCCCCATGGTCTCTCTGGTGCTGGGCTGGAGCCCAGGGCCCTGCCCATGCTAGCCAAATGCCCTACATTGAGCCACACCCCAGACCCTTACCCTCAACTTGACTTCACTCGGAAGTCACTTCACAGCAATCACACTAGTCTTTTATCATTGCATCGTAAAGCTGTATGTAATGCAGTCTGCATTTACTCCCATCCTGCTCTTTCCTCCTGTAAAAGTGGAGAAAGAATTCTTCACTTCAGTCTATTCTGAATCCTCTCATCTTTCTTTTCTGCTCTCTTGTTTCAGTACATTCTCTCTCTCGCTCTTGCTCTTTTCCATTAGGGCAGAGGTGTGCATGATTTCTCCCTCTGTGATCACCTGCTTTGACTCCAAAACTTTGTCCCTCCCTGTATGACTTGTGCTTTCTATGTAGAGTCAGCTTTTCCAGCCATCCACATTTCTTCCTACTGCCTCACAGTATTTCCCTAATTGTTTCTAACTTATAGTCTGTTTCTCCCACTGGAACAGCTTTTATGAGATTCAGGTGATATCCATGGCAAATAACCCCCCCCCTTTTTTTTTTTAACTATCACTCTTATCTGACCTCCTAGTAATACTTAATGTGTTTGCCGTTTTCTCCTTGAAATTTTTTTCTACTTTTGTCCACTGATGTCTGTGTCTTCTTACTTTTTTCCCCCATTTACTGTTTATTCTTTTTTTTTTTTTTGTCATGGGCCTGAACACTGTCCCTCAGCTCTTCAGCTC